ACCAAAGTTCTCTCAGTCTTACACACCTACTATAAGTTTGAATATATATCAGATTTATTCTTTTACACTCTTCCTTCACTTTCAGAGAAGCCAGAAGAACTTAATGAAGCGACCAGATCACTGTTTCCTATTGTTGAAAGAAAGGACCTTAAAACGCTCACTGAAAAAGTTAGGGAATTGAGAAAACACTACAGGGTCCCACAAAAACTATTCAAATCTTATTTCAATCTGCCTCCATCAAAGGAATCTCTGCCAGCATCGTATGAACTTCTTACACCTTATTTAGCAACATACTTTCTGCATGAACCTATGATAATAGACATATGTGAACTTATTGGCATACTGAGAAAAGAGTACAAGCCAGGTCCCCAAACCCACTTTTAGATGAGATTGACATTCCAATCCTAACAAATATTTAGGAAAATGCAATGGCCTTAATTGTTCAACTGAGAAGTGACTTCAAATTTAGCCTTCCCCTCGGCCCAGCATGGATCAACCCAGCAATCTCACAAACTAATAAAGAAAAACTGCCAAGTAAAATCTGTGAAGTAGATGTCTCACTGGGAATCGGTATCTTCCTGGACTATAGGGATAAGCAATACCAAGAGAAAATTAGAAAACTCGACCAGAGATATGAATTTCTTACATTGCCAGAAAACTGGTTCAAAGCTCCTAAAGCAACTCTCCTCTCAATTGAAGAACTGAACAAATTCAACCAAGAAAATCATATAGACATTCAATTCCCTCTCAGAGATGATGATAACTTACTGACCTATATCACTCAACTCCACAAAAGCTACAATTTTGACAGACTACCAGACGAATATATACTTGCAGAGGACTTACCAGAGCCCAGTTTTGACCTCATCTTATTTATTTGCTAAGATGAAAAGCTCATCCAACTACATACACTCATTGAACAGTTTTATACAAAATACTACTCCTGACATCAACACCACTGCCACAATTAAAAATCTTCTCAACATTACAACATTAAACGTAAGAGGCCTCAATGAAAGATCAAAGTTAACAACACTTAAGCACGATCTCACAAATAAAAGGTCAATAATGTGTTGTTCCAAAACCAAAGTCCCTACAACTAATTTCCTCCCAAAGAAACTTAATAACAAGACCATTATTGCAAGTGTACCATCAGAATCATCAAAAAATAGATTGTGCCTAATTATAGGCAGTAATGTAGTTAACCACATCTTTGTGACATATACAGAAAATGAGTATTGGTGCTCAGCCCACCTGAAATTCAAACCAAAAATTGATATCATTATTATAGCCGTCTACTTGCCTTATGAGACAAGCGAAAGAAAAAAAGCAACCAAGTCACTTATAAAGCACTTAAGAAAATTCAAAGAATCAACTCATCAGATATTGGCAGGTGACTTCAACTTCTACCCTACAGGCACCCCATCCATCAATGCATCAACAACAAACATCAAAAAACGATCTACAATTATTTGTTCAACTGGGTGGACATCATGAAAGTCCTAAATAGAGAAAGCGAATTCACTCATATAATACAAACTAGTGCATCAAGAATCGATCAAATCTGGTGCACAAACCACCTTGGATCCAAAGTTATTAGTGCAAAAATCTCAAAGTTCCTATTAATCATCACTGATCACAAACAAGTTCAAGTAATTTTTAATTGGTTTGCATACAAGCTTAGAGCCCAGGCTGCCAGACTAAGTTATTTGATTGGAAACAAGCTACACCAGAATAAAGAAGCAACTTTCAAAAAGAAACAGATCTTAGAATCTCCATGAGAGACAGCAACTCTTGGCCCTCATTCAATCACGTTATCGTAAACGCAGCCAAGAACAACCTACCACTAGTAAAACCAGTTGTGAACAAGGCCCCCCAACACAATGGAGATTAACATTATAAAACAATCAGGCGAATTAAAAAGATTATTTCCAAAAAAAAGAAATCTATCTCAGTAAGGGTATCAAGGCACATTGTACAAATTCATGAAATGATCTTTGGACCTACACCAATCTCTATCAAATCACTGAACCAGATCAAAAATATACTTATCAAAGAAAGACTTAATGACATCAAAGAGTTTCACGCTGAACAAGTCCAGAGAAACATCACTAACAACTTTATCAAATTTTGAAAAAGACCAAAAAGTTTTATCAAAAAAGCATTAGGCAATCTCAAGCTTTCACTAGACCTCAACTTCATATAAAACGAGCAAGGTATCCTTACAGATGATCCAGAGGAAATCAAAAACATCATAACCAATCATTTCAAATACATCCTGACAAATAATAACTTTGACCTGTCCGATCCATATTGGTTTGACAAATATGTTCCTATCAGTACAATAGAAGAAGGCACATATAACAACACCTTAAGTCCAATTAGCCTCATCAAAGTTGAGGACACACTGCAAGAACTACCTCTAGATAAAACTCCAGGATGCTCAGGTATTATGTACGAGATGATCAACTCTCTTGGATGCACCTCAAAATAGATACTTCTACAGTTGTACAACAAGGTCATCGATGACGAAGTCATTCCACAGAGCTGGAAAAAGTCAACAATCGTTCTGCTTCCTAAAAAAATTATATGGTTACGTAGAGTTTCAGACACCTGCCCGATATCCTTAATCGAGTCAACGAGAAAAGTTTTTACAAAAATAATCAATATTAGATTGTCGAAAACTATATATGAGAACAATATTCTGTTAAAAGCTAGCTTTGTAGGGCTACCCAACCAAAGCACAATGGAACTATTAACCATTGCAGCCTCAAGCCTAAACACAGCAAAGAATCTGAACAGCGAACTCTGGCTGGCCTCCTTTGATATCGCAAAGGCATTCGATTCAGTCAATCTCAACAGTCTCAAAGCTGCCTTAGAGAGAATCAAAATTCCAAATAAGCTTATCAACATTTTTCACAGCATGTTAAACAAACGAAAACTTGCAGTAGCAACAAATTCGGTAGTACAAATAATATAGAGGTGTCAAAAGGCCTCAATCAAGAAGAGACACTCTCACCACTCTTATAGACAATCTTCTACGACCCAATGGTGACAAAAATTCACAATAATGCCAAGCAACCACTAATCCCATATAGCATTCTCACGTATATGGATGATGTACTCCTCACGGCAAACTCTTTAGATAATCTTTAAGACCTCATAGACATCTTTTGCACCTTTCTTATCCTTAACAACATCAAATGCAATTCAGACAAAACAATGCTTATCACTACCCTAGCTAACAATAGTAGTGCAAGGAATATAGGCTTGCGAGTCATAGATACAGTAGTAAGACCACTTAGCATTAAAACTCCCCTTCGATATCTAGGCAACTTCTTCGCAGGAGACCCAGCTAGAGGTATCCCAAACAAGACCTATATCAAGGATCTAAGCCAAGTCATAGAAACCTGCCACAAACAGAAATGGAATGGCCCAATATTGAAACAAGTGCTGGACTGAACCATCCCTAGCAAACTTAATTACTCCCTTTTAACAAGCTCTCTCTCTAAATCACAGTTACAAAAGCTTCAGACCAGAGTTAATAATGCGATCAAAGAAAAGTTTAAAATAGGAAAAATGATATCTAACAAAATCACTTACTCACAAGCTGGACTCAACCTGATAAACCTAGTGGATAACCAAGACCTTACTCTAATAAAACTTCTCATTGCCAAACTTACTAACACAAAGACCCAAGAAGCTATGTCACTGGAAATAAATTCTCTTCAAGCCAGTCTCGCTATCTGGCTCTGCCCGATTTGTCACCCAGAGAAATTCCCAGAAACATAGATTATGCAAGCTGCGACAGCTTCAAAAGTGTACAGAATTGACATCTGCCCTACTCCCTGTCAATACAATCACCCCAAAGGGAAACAATCACTAGGCCTTCACTTTTCATTTGACAGTAAATATCTAAAGCGTTAGGCATTAGGACTGAGCAGAGGAAATATCAAGTTCTTAGAAGATCTACTTACTTTCCAATCGAACAGAAGACTATTCTGGCATGAGTTTAACACATACTTTCGCTCCACACCCAAAGGTCCCATACCTTCCTGGTTTACCAAAATTAATGCCACATCCATTCTTAAAGAAACTTCGACCTGCATACCAAACACAAGAACCAGATTCTGGGCTTTCATTACCAATAACGAACTGAGTTTTATTAAAACAAGAGTCAATCGTAACTGTACTTACTCTCAAATAAAGGAACTCACTATAAATTAAAAACGAGTAGAACTCTCAAGAAATGCCAGTGTCATAACAACGGCTCCCAAATCGTTATCCCAGCTACTAAAGCAATGTCCCTTTGGATATACAAGACAAATAATGAACATTGCCTAACCAACGCACTAGAGGAAATATGGCTTCAACTTTAACATATTGCCATTCCAGACAATAATCCAAAAGTAGAAATCAGCTTTCACGAATATAGAGATCTATCAGTACAAATCAACACCAATACTATAGAGAATCTTAAACAAGTCATCAACTTCAACAGACTATTTTTGCACTTCGATATTGAGAACAAAGATAAATTATTAACGATACATGGACACAATATCAACATAGCTCTATACTTAACAAATCTGCAGCCAATCAACACTCTCCTAGGGTTAATCAGTTTAGTGGAGGTGGCCAATGATCAGACATATATATCAGTCAATCTCCCTAAGAAGCTAGATCTATATACCCCAAGCTACTCTAATAAAAGAATCAAATTTTCATACAGTTTTTTAAAAAAAAAAATCAACAGCACATGTGAATGCAAAAACATCAAATTAAGACTAGAGTCAAGCCCAGTTATCTCAAGCTATCAAGACAATAACATAATCATAGGGATTGATAACCTAGTGGAACCCGAAAGCTGCACCTCAAGTTCAAAAATCAAGAATAATTGGAGTTATAGCCCAGTCGTCTGGACCAAAAAAATTCAGTGAACATATAGGCTCGCTGATGTTATTCAGAACCCATCAATCAAAAACAGGTGGAAAGTTAGCATGAAAGTATTAACACTTCAAATTCTAGTTAAAGCAAACAAGCTACTAATCAAAAAAGACAAAATAAATACCTCCTCCCTACTAGCCTTCAGATTTAAGCTGCTAAGCGGAACATTGCCATCCAGGCAATTACTATACGATCGATACCCAAGCACCTACACTGATAATCTTTGTCTCAGGTGTCTTACAGCAGTAGAAATCCAGAGTCACATTTTTGATTGCTATAAAAACTTTGCAACATACAACGAAATGGAAAACAAGATAAGAACAAGTCTAATAAAGCTTGTTAGGAAAAACAACAATAAGAAGCTCTTAACAGAAATCGAAAAAAGAACACAAAACTAGAATTTGGCCGAAAATCCAACTTAGACAAACTTGCAAGCAGAATGCTAAGCATAGACATACTGTATAACTCCTGTCGCCAGTCATGCCAAGATGGCAAACAAAATACTAGCCCTACTATACTCACAAATATGGATTCCAAGATCAGCAACAGCTAACACATCTGAAGTAAAGGGAGTCAAATGAAAAAGGCACTTTCCTCTAGCCAAAAGCTCCAGTAACATCCACTTATCAAAAGCCACCCTAAATGATAAAAGTTTATTAAAGTTAATAATGGAAGCTACAGACCCACAAGCAAATCACAACAATAGCACTATTAAATTACAAGTCTTTATCTCAGCTCTGGAAGGACATTAACTATCCAGCACTAAAACTAATCCGAAATACACTAAGTGTAACTAGGATAGGGATAGTTAGTATCGTAGATAGGTTAACGTTAATTTATAAACTCAATTTTGTAAAGATGTTTGATGTAATCCAGATATATTATATATATTAATAAAGTTTTGCATCTGATGTCCTTTTACGACGTTAAAAAAAATAATAATAATAAAATAAAAAGTATAATTTTTTATAAAATATTGATATATTTAATTAATTAATTTTTTTCTTAAATAATTTTAATATATATTTTTGATTTTTAATATTTAATTATAGTTAATCATTTAAAAAATCTGGTGAAAATTTTTTAACTTAATTTTTTTTATTTTAAATTAATTTTTTATAATAAATTTATTAATCAATTATTAATGAAACTTAAATGTTTTTATTATTACATTATAAAAAATATATATTTAAAGTTTTATATTAATTAAATAATTATTTATTAAGTTATATTAAAAAATATTAGTTCAAGAACCTTTATAACACACTGTATATTGGTAAAATATAAATATATATTTTTAAAATTATATATACAGTATATATTTATTTTTAATTTTACCTATAATTGATTTTATATTATCTAGTTTTGTCTTAATAGTTATAAAGTTATTAGTAAGTTTTAATTTATTATTTTAATTATAATTGTCTTTGATTCATTTTAAATTAAATGAAAGCTTTAAGAAAAACTTTAATTTACAATGGTTAATAAGATTTTTAACATTTTTTGATCTATAATTAAAAGAAAAATAGAATTGTTTTACAATATCAGTAAAGTAGAAAAATAAACATTTGGCCTTTATATAATCTAATAAAAAATACTTTATTATATAGTTATTATTCTTTAATAAATTAACTTTTCTTTTGAAATCTTTAATATTGTTACTTATTGAAATGTATTTTATAAATAATTAAAAAGATCTACTGTATATATAAAGAGATAATATCATTTTGAATAAAAGGAGATTGAAATATATTTAAACATAATAGTATTATATAAGCTGTTTAGCTTTGAATTTTAAGATGAAATAATTTTAACATTGCTTTATATTTAGGGTTTCTGGTTTTTCATAATTGACAAATTTAATCCTTATTTTAATAATATTCCATGTTTCTTTCGGGCGCTTATGATTGTAAAATTGGTTAAAACAAACAGAATAATAAAAAATTAATATACTCAATAATACCCTTTACGAATTCAATTTGATAATATAAGAGAAGTAAATGTTCATCTGCTAGTAACATATTGTGACGGTTTAACGGTGAGTCTATCATAACTCTAGCAAAGATTTGCGAACCGTCGTCAGGTAAGTGAACTAAAGGGTGATTTGAGGCGTGTTTTATTTGACCGAGTCTTCTTCTCTATTCTCCTCGCCTCTCTTTCACTTCTCTATACTTTACATGTTATTTATACTTTACATTTGACTATGGTGGCTTAGACATACAATCGATGATACAATGACATGGCTAAAACTAGATTACATAATTCTTTTCACAATTCTTCACATCCCTCCTTTATTACAGTACAGCCGACTCGCATTGTCGCGACGATCGATCACGTACTGACGTTGCGTCCCATTTCTCCCTGTTACAATATCAAACAAAACCCATGTATAATATAAAAACCGAGATTTAAAAGGAAATTATTGAAAGCTCAATTTATCACGTAAATACTATAAAACTGAGATATAGAGGAGCCCAATCATTTTCCTTCCTAAATGCAAGCACTGACTCAGTCCCATAAACGTAAACCTATAAATGCAAGTTGTGTTTTATTTGGCCATACAGTCCCGTCGGCGTGTACTTAGGAGGTCTTAATGTGTTTGAATTAATAGTTATTACATAAAATTATTTTTGTTATGCTATTTTTTTTTAACATCAATGTATATTATTCATCCCTCGTAACTACTGTATATATATGTGTTCTTCGGAAGAAGTATTGAACTTTTGCTTCGAGTTCATGGAGATCACAGTAGGATGGGAACTCAATTATAAGATTCTCCGATGGTTTTATGTTTATTAGTGTCTTCTTAGATAAACACGATTGGATTTTTGGAAAAAAAAATACGGAAACACTGGTAAAAGTGACTTTTCACGTTCTGCAATGAAGTTGATTTGTTTTCTTTCGAGTATATTTTTTCAAAAGCCGCACAATTAATAAAAATTGTGTAATGTGCACGGATGATAGGGAAAAGGTGCGTCTTTATAAGATCGAATGTTACCCTTGTTCGATCGAGCTTTCGTATCATATTACTTTGTCAGAGGATGTAATTAATTATTGCTTTATTTTTCACTTTGATTTATTTTAATTTATATCCTTTTTATCCGCGCGTTTTGCAATGATTAAATTTTGACTCTTTTTTTTTTGACTAAGTTATTTGTTTGATTTTCTTTGCAATACTATGACTTTTTATTTAAAAAATGCTCATTAAAAAGAAATGAAATTTGAAAATAAATTAACTAAAAAAAATTATAATAAAATCATCGTAATAATAAAGAATAAAAAAAAATTATCGTCAGTCAAATAATAATATCAAAAAAACCAATCATGTAAAAAATAATGTCATACTAAAATTTATCTATTGCATTTCAGATTTATTAAACCAATATTTTGCTTTTTCCTCATTTTTCGTGATTCCAATTCCATTACGATAACATATTCCAAGATTTTTTTGTCCCAATCTGTTTCCGTGCTCAGCAGACTTCAGGTACCATTGAAATGCTTTTTTGTAGTCTTGAGCGGTTCCAATTCCTTCATTATAGCAATATCCAAGACTACATTGTCCACTGGCGCTTCCACCTTCAGCAGATTTCTGATACCACAGAAATGCTTTCTCATGATCTTGAGTGGTCCCTCTTCCATTGCGATAACAGTCTCCAATATTATGTTGTGCTTGACGATTTCCACGTTCGGTAGACTTCAGGTACCACTGAAATGCTTTCTCGCAGTCTCGAGTAGTTCCAATTCCTTTATCATAACAATACCCGAGACCACATTGTCCCCTGGCATTTCCGCCTTCAGCCGATTTCTGGTACCAATGGAATGATTTTTCGAAGTCTATGGGGGTTCCAATACCCATACGATAACAATATCCAAGATTATATTGTCCCTGATGATCTCCACCTTCAGCAGATTTTAAGTACAACTGAAATGCTTTATTGTAATCTTTAGTAGTTCCAATTCCCTCATCATAACAATACCCAAGACCACATTGTCCACTGGCATTTCCTCCTTCAGCTGATTTCTGGTACCAATGGAATGATTTTTCGAAGTCTATAGTGATTCCAATACCCATACGGTAACAATATCCAAGATTACGTTGTCCAGCGGTATTTCCACCTTCAGCTGATTTCAAGTAACATCGATATGCTTTTTCGTCGTCTTTAGTAATCCCAACTCCGTTTTGGAAAAAAACTCCGAGGATCATTTCATTTTGAGGGGTTTCCTGCCGGTTGATTAATAAATTAAAAATCCGTTCTGAAATCGTCTGATTATTTTCAATAAAGGTATTAATACAAGTTGTTAACTCTGAATTAGAAAGTCCTTTACTTATTTGATCGATAATAAGTTTATGTAACTTGTCTAACGTGTTATTCTCATAATACTCAAGTTCATCTGAGGTTTTTAAGGTATCTAATTTTGAAAAAGGCTTATTCGTTCTTTTTGGAAGTTCTTGAATGACCACTGATCGCGCAGGTAAAATAGTCGACTTTATTTCTTTATTAGGAGCAACAATATTCTTAAGTATATCATTCCAAAGTTGTTTTTCTAAAATCTTTTTGTACGGTTTCAATTTATCGATAATATCTTCACCAGATAATTGAAAATAGCGAATATGAGGCAGGCATTGTTGAAGAATTCTTTTTAGATTAATAAAATTCTCTTTTGACCACTCCTCAATTTCCGAAGGAAGGGTGGAATCTTGAGCAATTCCCCATTGAATAACTTTATCCCAAATCTTGACTTCTTCGATTTGCAAATCATCTCTTTTCAGAAGAGAAATTAACGCTGCTTCTTTAATAGAAGTAAAATCTTCTGCATCAAATATAAGATTAGGATATTTTGCTATTATATCATTGCAAAAATTTTCCAAGCATTTGAAATGATTATTTCTATCAAATATCGAACGATAAATGAGAGAAAAGTGTGTGCGTAACCAAGATGAATTATGTTCGATAAGATACATTTCCAATTTTTTGGTCAATTCTTCTAATTCAAGCTCGTCGGCGGATACCATTAAATCAAAAATAAATCTATTATCAATATTTTCTAGATAAACAACCCCTCCATAGATATATCTATAAATGTAAATAAAAAATATATTAGATATAAGTTAATGTTAAATATTTTATAGTTTAATTTTATTTATGCGTTGTTAAGAAATTACACACCTGAGAATTACTTCGAAAACTTTAGCAGTAGTGTTAGGTCTTACGATAGTCTTAACGCGCTGTTCATTTTCAGTAATTTTAGTTAGTTCCTTTCGAAAGTAAGGTGATCTATAACGCAGTACTGCCGAGTGTGCAGTAAATGATCTCTTGTTGGATTCTTTATCAATCTCGAAGATAACATTATAGTCTTCTTTATCGTCTAATAGTCCCGTAAAGTCGTTTGATGGTTT